TCAATTGACTGCCAACGCGCACAAGTACATCGCGTCCTACATCTTGCGGTGCTGTGCCCTGGACAAGACCCCGAAACTGGACGAATTCCTTCTCCTCTTCAGTATCGGTGGTTTCCCCTTTTACAGCCTATACCCCCATAACCATTTTCCCATTTTTGAGAAGGTTGAGCTCAAGATCGACAGATGGTCACTGAAATACTTCGTTATTGAGTTTCCGGCTCACAACCCAATCGATCTGCCGGGTGTTGTCCTCCGCCATTCCATTTCCCGGACGAAATTTGCCACAGTAGACTTAGCGGAGGGAGTGTATAATGCCTTGAGGGAGATGGGGGGTTTAATTTCCCACCACTCTCTCCAAGATGCTAAGTTGTACAAGAAGGCAGGTTTTTACTACCCCCTGGGTCCTGACCCATTTCCCTTTGAAGGGATGCCCTCTCCTGAGAGATCGAAGGCTCCTTATGCTACAGAGTCCAACCCATCCGCAAGCTCTCCTGGAAATCGGCCCCAAGGTGGTTCCACTACCTTGGTTGTGCGCAATCCGGATGTTGCTCTGAATGTTGTTCCTATCTCTGCCATCCCCGGGCTCAGGAGGCCCACTCCGTCCCAGAAACGGCCACGGGAAGGTGTCTGCGATGAAGATTTCCTTCCCAAGAAGAACAAGGGTGACGGTACTTCTGTTTCGCCCAGCCCCCTGTCCAACTCTTCCGGTCCCCAAAATGCCACTCCTGCTGCTACGTCCTGGGTTTTGGAGTTATCCCACCCGGAGAGACTTGATTGTGAGGAAGAAGAGCCTAGGGACCAGTCTGCGCTCAGAAAACCCATAACGCAGCCTCAGACTGAGGCGTCCAGTTCCTCGCCACATGCCGTAACCACCCCCCATATAATGGATGAAGAAGGGATGAAGCAGAAAGAACCGGAGTCCTCCCCTACAGCAGAGAGGGAGGTCGAAGTGCAGACAGAGACGGAAATATCCCACCCGGAGGAGAATGAGGCTGGAGAGCAGAGGGATGCTGAAGCTTCTCCAGAAGTGAGGGAAGAGGCTGAGGCGCAGCAGACTCAGGATGAGCAGCTAGAGCCAGAGGAACGACATCCCGCCACTGCATCCCCACCCGTCAGTCTCCCCATCCGGCGCAAGTTCACACCGCAAACTTATCATGTCTTTATAGAGAGTTGGGCAGACTTCTCCCGTGGTCTGAGGTCCTTGCAAGCCTCCCATTGGAGGCAAATCTTGAGAGGATGAGGGAATCCGTGCAGGGGCCTGCAATTCCCCAGGCCCGTCCCGACTTGCTTGCCCTCAATGCTCTGCACCTCATGGAGCAGGTACCTTCCCTTTCCACAAATCTCTTTATCTCTTTTTGGGTTAGTTCCTTTCCTTGACTTCCCTTTCCTTCCTTTAGGCCCAGCAATCACTCCTCACTCTGACTGAGGAGTACCTGGGTGGAGCATCAGGGAACTATCGGGCTGTAGTGCTCCTGAGGGAGAGGGAACTGGCTGCCAGAGCCTTACAACAGAAGGTTGACTCCCTGGAACAACAAGTCCAGATCCTGCAAGGGGAGAATGCTCGGCTCAAGGCAGATGGCTCAATGGAGCTAGCAGCTGAGAGATCCAAGGTCCCGTCCTTACAAGAGCATATTGCCAATTATCAAAAGGAAACCCAGGATCTGGAAGTGCAGTTTGACAGATTACGGGCACAGATCCCCATTCTGGAATCCAGGGTCTCGGCTTCAGAAACCCAGACAGGAAGCCTGAAAGCTGAGTTGGTTGAAAGGGAATCCCGGATTTCTGAACTGGAGAATTCCCTCCAAGAGGCCAAGTATGAGGGCTCCCATCTTAACGAGCTTGCACTGAAGCACATGGAGGCAAGACGGCTTACCCTCGAGAAGTTGAAGGAAGATAGACGGGCTGCAAGTGAGCTCTGGTCAAAGATGGAGGATCAGGAGAAGACAATTGCTGCTCATCAAGAGGAGGTGGCCACTCTGGTTGCCCGCGCTGGAGCCCTCTACGAAGAGGGAAAATTTGACATGCAGCAATGTATCTACGGGGCAGTCCAGAGTGGTCTCCCGGAGAACCGCACTTTGGATGACTTCATCTCCTACTATGGGTTACCTCTTCCTCTTTCTCCCCCAGCCTCTCGTGCCGATCCGGGGCCTTGACTCTATCCTTCTCTGTTGACTGTTATATTTTTCCTTGTAACATTTGGATGGTAGAAAATTGATAACTCCTGATGTATTTTTGTCCATATTGACTCCTTTCGTAAATCTGACTGTCTCCCTTTTGGAACTCTTGTTTCGCCCTAGGACTTAGTAGATTTTTTTATCCGCCTAAGCTTTGGGCTTAACCGCGCTCATAACATACTGTTTCTCTTGTTTTCCATTGCGCTAAGTGACTGGCCAACCTTAATTACGCCGGGCCCAATTCACCTTAGCCCAATAATAAGATGACAGAACCCTAGCTTTCCTCGGGAATCCGCAACTCCCTCCCAATCGGATAAGCGCTTTGACTCGGCGTCCCTTGCACTTCTCCTTTGGGATCACTCGCCTGTTTAAGGGACTAGGCTGAACCCCTCCAATATCATAACCAACTTCTCAACATGGCTAATAACGCCAATAGAGTCGTCTTTATTGATCTCACTATTTCTCTGATTCTTCTTCCGATTCTTCTTCGTTGGCATTCCCCTCACCTGGGTCCCCAACGCCTGAGCTTTCTTCTGGGCCTTCTCTTGCCTCTGAACAATCGGTAACTTCTCCCTTGCCCAGGGAGGAGAATAACCCTCATCTCCCCCCACAAGCTTCAGGGAGTGTGCCTCCGGGTCCCGGCATGCTTCCTAACAGTGCCAGGGCGGAAGTCTCTCCTGGCTGTCCTGGCACTTCTCGTCCACAGAAGAGACGCAATCCCCACTCAGGAGCTTCCCGGCTGGTCTCTGGTGCGAGGCCTTCTTCTCAGGGTTCCCCTTCCCCTCAGCAGTTGTATGGGCCCAATTAACTAGCCCATGCACTTAAGTGGCGAGAAACTCTTAGTCAAACATTGGAAAAGCTTCGACCACTTCCTTCGCCAATCGCTTAGTCTTTCACGTCTTTTAATTGCACTCATCAATTCCCAACTATCACTTCCCCTTTGACTATAAAACGGGAAAGGGCAATTAGCTGCCTGTTCATCACTTTCTGAATTCTTCGCCATGGCAAGTAAGTCTGAGGGCAAAGTCATCATCGACTTAACCCTCTCTGGGACGTCTTCTTCTTCAAATGATGATTTCTCCATCTCTCCAGCCCAATCCAACGACATGGCCGGGTTGAGTCCTGGCGAGTTCTCGAGACTTTATCCGGCGCCTCGCCTTCCTGCACCATCTCCTCCTAGTCCACCCAAGCTTCCCTCCGGGGAAATTGACTGGGACTCCATGACTCTCCAGGACTTTGCCTTGTACCAGAGGATGTGCAGGACTAAGCTTGGATGTCCCCTGCTAACTGTTGAAGCGGAACCTTCATGTGAAAGCCGGACTGCTTCTCCAAATCTGCTGAAGCCTTCTAGCAATGGTTCTTCATTGAAGGGAGCAGTCCCTCGTCCTGGGACATGGGAAGACTATGACATATGGGAAACCTCTAGTTCATCAACGTGTCCCTCGTCAAAGAGAAGGAGCCCATGGAAGGGTCCCCCACCTCCTTCTTGTTGACTGCATGGATGCAATAGGCCCTCCTTCAGTTCCTAGCCTCCTGCAAATCAAATTTCTTTCCCTTGTTTTGTATCAAGGGGCATTCACTTGCTTGGTCCAGAGGTTTTCCCCGCATCCCAAGCTAAGGAATGTTCCTTAATTTTGAAGTGGGAATCATCGTTCTAATTCAAAGATATACCTCCGAATTAGCAATCGATAACTCCCTTAATTTCTTTTCTTGTTTATTTCACTAGGAACCTTTATTGTGAACCAAAAAATGTAAACTTTGGCCCGTCCATATGGTCCTTAATGATCATTTCTTTGCACCTCTTCAAATGCAAGTACATAATTCATTCTCTATATTAAATCTCATCTTCCCGGGGTTTTGGCATGCCTGGGGCACTTATCTCATCTGCCCCCGACCTCCCCTTCCTCCGGGTTAAGGCATAATCTTATCTACCTTGGATCAGTTGAGCTCCAACCCTCGAAGTTTGTTTGCTCGGTTGATCTATGCTAGTGGAATACTAAGCTTCAGCCCTCGAAGTCTGCTTGCTATTCTTCCTGAATTCCGGGTTGTAGTGGCCCTCGAAGTCCAATCCCAACCCTTCCTTCATTTTTGTCGGAGGCATAAACTTCTCTACCTCCGGGGGGCATAAACTTATCTACCTCCCCTATTTTTAGCAGGTGGCATAAACTTTTCTACCTCCCTGTAATGCGGGTCTATATCGCCCGGGGGTGCTTTCCCCCCCCCCCTTTTTTTTTAAGAAATCTATAGAACAATGAAATTGCAAAGGCACTTGGCATTAAAAGAAAAGTTTTACTGAAACAAGCATCTTAAATTGAAAAATAGAGCGTTTTTACAAAATGATTCACTGATAAAATTTGACCAAGTGCTCTACATTCCATGTCCTATCAATTTCTTTTCCCTTGGGAGTCACCAACTTGTAGGTACCTGGGCGAACAACGGCCTTGATGATATAAGGTCCTTCATACTTCTTAGCCAGCTTCCCACCCTTAGTTGGTTGACTTTTCTCTCGTTTCCTCAGAACATAATCCCCTACCTGGAATGGCCTCGGTTTCACCTTGCTATCAAAGTAAGATTTAACCTGGCGACGATAGTTCTCTGCCCGGATCCGTGCTTCATCCCTTCGTTCTTCTACGAAATTCAGCTCTACGGCCTGATTCTGTTCGTTCACCTCTGGGTCATATTTCATTTCTCTCCTGGTGGGGATTACTACCTCAGCGGGAGCTCGGGCTTCAAAACCATAAGCCAAGCCAAAAGGAGTGTCACCCGTGGCTCTCCTTGGAGTCGTCGTGTATGTCCACAGGATTCTGGGTAGTTCATCTACCGATTTGCTTCCTTCTGAAAGTAGCTTCTTCTTTATTCCGTCTATGATTGTTCTGTTGACGTTCTCCACTTGTCCATTAGCATGTGGGTACGCAACAGACACCTTCGTGTGCTGAATTCCCCAGGTTTTGAGAAAGTCTTGAAACTCTGCTTCCTCAAACTGGGTTCCATTATCGGATATGATCTGCTTTGGGACCCCAAACCTGCAGAGTATATTGGCTCCGACAAAGTCGATCATCTGCCTTCCGGTGATCCCTGCAAGTGGCTTAGCTTCCACCCACTTCTTGAAATAATCTATCGCCACCACAATCCACCTTGCTTGCCCTGCCCCTTTTGGCAGGGCTCCCAAAAGATCAATCCCCCATCTTGAGAAGGGAATCACGGAGCTGATGGGCGTGTAGTTCGTGGCTGGCCTCCCGGGTATATTCTGGAATTGCTGGCAGGTCGGGCACTTACGTACATACTCTTCGCAATCCTTCCTCATTGTTGGCCAGAAGTATCCCTGGATGATAGCCCTTCTAGAAATGGAATAAGGACCCTGATGTGCAGCACATACTCCTTCGTGTATTTCTTCCATCAGTGCCTTTGCCTCTGCTGCTTTGAGGCAACGGAGTAGAACACCATTGTAAGACCGCTTATAGAGGACTCCATCCTGCACCTTGTAGGTTGGTGCCCTCATTCGTAATAGACATGCTTCTTGGGGATCCTCCAGGGCTTCACCGTCCTCAATATATTTGGCCAACCGGTCCAGCCATTCCGGGGGGTCAGCTGATACCCAGATCACTTCACTGTTGCTAAGACTCGGGGTTACCAGCTCTTCGACAGTTGCTAATTTGCTTATGTATTCCGGTGATTCTACGCTGAGCTTGGATAGAACATCGGCCTCTGCTTTCTGGGCCCGGGGTATATGTTCAAGCTTAAACTCAAACCTCCCCAACATCTTTAAGGACAAGTCCCGATACTTCTTCATCCTTTCTTCCTTTGCTTCAAATTCCCCTGTGATTTGTCCCACCACTAGTCGGGAGTCGCTGTAGACCTGAACCCTGGATACTCCCATCTTACTAAGAATCTTCAATCCATTGATCAGGGCCTCATATTCGGCTTCATTATTGGACACGCGGAACTGAAATCTGATAGCGTAATAAACCCGGAAATTTTCTGGGGTGATCAAGACGATACCTGCTCCGCAAGATCGAGACCCAGAAGATCCATCGATGCTCATTATCCACCAGTCCTTCTCCACCCGGGTTTCAACTTGGGCTCTTGTCATTTCTCTAGCGGTGCACTTGACTTGAAAGTCGGCGAGTGCTTGCCCCTTGATGGATGGGCGCGGCCTGAATTCCACGTTGTACTGACTGATAAAGACCGCCCACTTGGTCATCCGGGCAGATGCCGCCGGGCTTCGAGTAAGTGACGCCAAAGGCTCATTGGTGAGCACAATAATCCGGTGAGCCTGAAAGTACGGGGTTAATCTCTTTGCTGTCCAGAAGACCGCCAACATGGCTTTCTCCGGACGAGAATACCTTAACTCCGCATCTCTCAGGGTCTTGCTGACGTAGTAGACCGGATGTTGGGCCCCACGCTCTTCTCTCACAATCACAGTACTTATGGCACAGTCCGCAATCGCCAAATATAAAGTTAGAATATCCCCAGGTTCCGGCTTGGATAAAACCGGCAGACTTGTGAGATATCTCTTCAATTCTTCAAATACTTCTTGACATTCCTGTGTCCATACGAAGGTCGCCCTCTTCTTGATCACCGCAAAGAATGGGTGCGCCTTCTCTGCCAGCTTCGAAAGGAAACGATTCAAGGCCGCCAACCTTCCTGTTAGCCGCTGAACTTCCTTTGCTGTCTTCGGGGGTTCCATCTCCATGATGGCTCTTACTTTCTCCAGGTTTGCCTCAATTCCTTTCCGGCTTACCATGTGCCCAAGGAATTTCCCACCTTGAACAACAAAAGTGCATTTCTTCGGGTTCAATCTTAGATTTACTTTGATCATGATTTCAAAGACATCCTCAAGGTCCCGGACATGGTCTCGGGCCTCTTTGGACATGACAATCATATCGTCGACATATGCCTCCATTGTCCGCCCTAAGACAGTTTTGAACACCTGAGAAACCATCCGGGTATAAGTTGCCCCGGAATTCCTCAGTCCAAAAGCCATCACTAGGTAACAGTACAACCCTTCTGGGGTCATAAAACTTGTCTTTTCAGCATCGGCCGGATGCATCCGAATTTGATGGTAGCCACTGAAAGCGTCCATGAAGCTCATTAGCTCTGACCCGGCGGTCTCATCTACCATCTGATCGATGTTGGGGAGAGGAAACGGATCCATGGGACATGCCTTGTTCAAATCTGTGTAATCGACGCACATCCTCCATGAAGGGGGCTTAGGCGCCAATACTACGTTCGCCAACCAATCCGGGTACTGCACCTCCTGGATATGCCCAATGCTCTGCAGGGTTGCTACCTCCTTCTTTACAAAATCTCTTCTTTCCTGTGATAAATGCCTTTGTTTCTGCTTCACTCGTTTAGCATCGGGCAGGACATTTAGGCGATGAACTGCTATCTTGTGATCCAGCCATGGCATATCAGCTGGACTCCACGCAAAGACCCTTCTGAACCTTCTAAGGACTGAGATCACTCGTGATCTGAGTTCAGCCCCCAGGTCCTTGCCAATCCTGACCAACCTTCCCAGCGTGCCTGGCTCCAATTCCACTTCTTCAATGTCGCCAGCCACTTCTACTCTGGGACGTTTTTCCTCAGCCCTCAAGAGTTGCGCAGTCACTTCTCCTACTTGGGTATCGTACTTGACCGGCTGTTTGGCTGCTTTCAAATACCATGCCCGGGATACTCTCTGAGATCCCCTGGCAATTCCAACTCTATGGGGGGTTGGGAATTTTATGCACAGGTGACGAGGTGAGATAACACACTCTAAATCTTCCAATCCGGGTCTGCCCAAGATACTGTTCGTGCTGGAGATTATCCCTACCACGATAAATTCCATGTCCAGCTTCCGGGTAGCCTTAGTATCCCCTATCTCAACCGAGAGGGTTATTACCCCCTCTGGTTCAATAGAGTCACCAGTGAACCCGGTCAGTGGAGTCTTGATGGGTGATAATTCATCTCTTGTCAAACCCAGAGCCTTGTATGTATCCATATACATGATATTAATGGAGCTTCCTGTATCCACAGGGGTTTTGTGGATCAGTAAGTCCATTATATCAATAGTAATTACTAGGGCGTCCCTATGAGGGACCCCTGTCTCTGGAAGATCAGCATTAGAAAATACAATTGGCTCAGTTTTCAGCTTCTTACCTTCTAGGACCAGCACCTTGTTGACCATCGCCGCGTTAGCCCATTTTTTCCGGCTGGTGGCTGAATCCCCGCCAGTATTCCCTCCAATAATGAAGTTACACCCATGGTGTCTCTTCTGGCGATGCGGTGCGCGTTCCGAATCTTCCTCTTCGTCTTCAAGCCCGATGTGGCGTTTCTCCCGGGCCTCAGCTTGGGCCACTTCTTTATCTCGGCGCTTTCCATTTTGAGCATTCCCGGGATTCCCTGCATCGCCATCTTGTACGAATTTCTTCAGATGACCCCGGTGGATTAGCCTTGCCATCTCATTCTTCAGAGTATAGCAATCTTCCGTGTTGTGGTCATTCTTGCGATGGTAGGCGCACCATTTTCCAGTGTCTTCCACATTGCAGACCTTCTGAGAATAGGTTGGGTAAGTCATGAGTCCCTACTGTGCAGCATGGGCCATGACCTTAGCCACTAGCAATGTGAAGACCGGGTTGGCAGATTTATGCTTCTCCGAGGTCCCAGGACTTGCGCCCTTTGGGCCATCCGGGAAGCCCTGCTTCTTATTTTTAAACGGCTTCTTATTCCCCGTCTTCTCTTCTTCTTTAGGAGTCTTTTCTTTCTTCTCCTCCTTTCTTTCTTCCAGGGTCACGTACCTCCCCGCCCGGACCATCGCTTCTTCAAAAGTATCCGGGGGATGAGTAGTGAGATCGGTGTGAAGGAGCCCATCCTGTAATGCTGCCGTGAACATAGCCAACCTGGATTTATCATCGGTTCCTTCAACCTCCCTGGACTCTTTCCTCCATCGGATAAGGAAATTCTTCAAGGATTCTCCATGCTTCTGCCGTACTGAAGCCAAGTGAGTGAAATGCTTCTTGGGACGGCAGTTCCCGGCGAAATGCTCTAAGAACCGTAGTCCCAATTCATCCCACGTCCGGATGGATCCGGCAGGGACATGGTTGACCCAATCCGCGACCTTGCTGTCAACTGTCTGCAAGAAACACCGACACATGAGTGCGTCACTGGCGTCCACGGCAATCATCACTTGGACATAGCTGTTTATGTGTTCCTGGGGGTCCGACTCCCCATCATAACGCTTAACAAATGGCATCTTGAATCCCTGCGGATATGGTTCCGCGAAGATCCTCCGGGGCTAAGGGGGTATTCGTACGGGTAGTGAATACTCGACCCTTGTTAATCTTCTTCTGCATTTCCTGGATCTGCTGCCTCAGATCCTGGAACTCACCGGCTTCCGGCATCGGCGGTCCCAAACGCCGTGGTGCCGGGACCCCGGCTTGGCTTTGAACCTCGTCCTCCTCCAGATTCCTCAATGACCAGACCAGCACTTGGCTCGCACCACGGCCATTTCGCTGCCGTGGTTCACGATTAGATGATGCCACCTGGCTTGCCTGGGGTCGTATCCAACCCTGGGTTGCCTTTTCCGGATTCTTCCCCAGCCTCTCACTAACGTGAGCTTTCTGGCGAGATATCCTTTCAAAGACAGATCCCCGCGGGTTTTCGTTACCATCACAGATGATCCGGCTTGCATCCTTAGCCCGGCCTTCATTCACCTTGTTATTCCGGGCCAACTCCTCCGCCCGGCGTCTGTCAATGGCTTGCCTCTCCCTTTCAACCTCCTCCGGATCATGGAGCTCCTGGAGGATAGGAGAACTCGCAGTACGCAGGACCTGGCGAGGTTGCCCAGTAGGGATGTCCCGGGTACCGGATGGACCCGGAAGAGCTTTATCCAATCGCTCCATAATGTTAGCCATCATGTTGGCCACATTATTTAGTGCCGTTTCCAACCCATTGACAGGAACTATCATACCCTGTTCTGGGTTGTCACTCCTTACCGTCGATTGGGCGGAAGCAGCAGGGTTACGTCTCGTCCTTCGTCCGGCCATAATCTCACAGCCTTATCTCACAGTATATCTCTCAATGGAAGCACCAACGATGGGATTAACCCGATCAGATGGCGGGCCAAGAACGTAATATGAACTAGGAAGATATAATCACTTATATTCTTTAATTGAGTATTGAACTGTTTTGTTGTTCTTTTTCTTGTTGTCGTGTCTTACAATGGCGGGGTCTTCCCCTTTTTATAGTACTTCTAATATTCTAATTAAAATTATACAAAATGGAAATGGATTATGGAGATCATGGGGTTGTGATTCCCCTTCTTTTCGGTCTCGTTCTCTTCCCATTTCGCCCACAACTCGATGATGTGGGCCATGTGTCCCCATTCCTCCCTGGGACTGGGTCACCTTGATCTATCTCATGTCTGGGCCGTCTTCCTTTACTTGCCATATGCGAGATAATGGGCTTGGCCCGTCATCTCCACCTGATCTTATACCTTTTGGGCTATTATGGGCCTTCATTTTGGCTTGGAGTCGGGTCTACCAGACCCGATATCCATCAATTAGTTTATGAAATAAATTACTCCGTATAATTTAAGTTAAAATTCTATAAGTTATAGAGCTGCAACATTTTATATATGTCAAATGATGTTTCTAATGCAAATATTAAAACGAATAATTTGATGAGGATTCTTTAACAGCATTAGCATAGTGTACGTATAAGTTTAACGTCGAGGAATGGTAATATTATACTCCCTCCGTCCCATAAAATCTTTCTCCTTTCTTTTTTCATCCGTCCCACAAAACACTTCTCATTTTTATTAAAAAGTCACTTTTGCCCTTTACATTTTCATACCTTACCTATCACATCATACCTTTTTACTAATAATATATCCATCAAATCATACTTTTTACCCATCACATCAAAGGACATTTTTGAAAATTCAATACCAAAATACACTACCCTTAAATCACTCCTAAAAAGCAAAACTCTCATGTTTCACGGGACGGAGGGAGTACTAATTTATTGGTGTAAGATTGTCACATCTGAATTCAATTGGAGTACCAATATATTGAGAAAGTACAAATAATACTACAAAAATCTTATAGTTTTTTCCATTGTGAACACAGGCCAGGATGCAAGTTTACTCATTTACAAAGTATTGTGGTTGTAATAATGCTGATTTTTCTCACAATGCAATTTGAGTTGTTGCGTGGATCATCACCTCCCAATCAATGCACTCCATCATTCTGTCAGTGTTATCCAGAGTGCTATGCAAAGAACATCGGGAGATTCGATAATTTTACACAAGATATCGAAGGATATTGTATATTGTATTGTGATTATATGTTTAAGACTAAATGTTACAACTTTTCCGATTGCCCGAAACGTAATATAGTGTAATGTATATCTAATTGAGAATACAACATTATGAATAAACGTGTACCATTTTAAGTGTTTGGGACTATTTTAAAATTGATACTTGATGTTCTTATATAAGTCAATTAATTAATTTATGATTCAAAAATACATAAAGACTAGTGTTAACCCTGTGCTCGTATATAGTCTAAATTTTTGAGATTGTATATATATATATGATATTATTTATTTAATTTTTCTAATAGTGACAAAATATTTTTTAAACTTGTGAAATATATATAATGGTCATTGAATTGAGTACTAATAAAAATAATTTTAAATATTAAAGTATTATAATAAAAAAGGATTAATTACATAATGGCACATCATTAGAGAATGTATATGTGCTATAATGTCACTTGTCACCCTTCAATTTTATTCTATTTACTTTGTTGAAAAATATATGTAGCAATAAAATAAATATGCTGATAAGAAAAGTTTTTGAAACAAAGTATTTAATTAATAAATATTCATGTGATTAAAACTATATAATCATTTTTTGTGAAGTAATATAATAAATTAAAATAAGTTGTGGATAGTATAAAAATAATCCTATATTTATGTATGTGTGTGTGTATTTATGTGTGTGTGTATGTACGTATGTATGTATGTGTATGTATAAATTTCTTTTCATTAATATATATATATATATATATATAGATTGGTTCAAATAAGAATGAAATCTAATGAAAGAAATAAGAATGAATAATAACCCTCGGATCTTGATCTCCAGTGATTCTCCTTCCCACTTATCGCAAGAGCATTTTCGATTTTTCATCCTAGTTTCGTTCTTGCCTTATCAACTGCTCTTCTTCTTTGCAAAATCAGCGCACCATCTTCTCTCATTTCGTTCACAGTTTTCATTATCTACACATGCCCCTTTCAATGTTTAGATCCCGTCATCATAATAGAAGCTGCAGTTTCTCTCTCTAAGAGTTGCGTTTGGGCAGTGTTTTTTAACACTATTCATACCCGACCTTCACCTTGCAATTCCTTCTTGATTTGTAGCTCGATTCTCAATATTTTTGGAGCCCTAGAACCGACTTCAATATATGCTTCCTCTTTCGAGTCCAATTCGCTGCTCTTGGGTCCGGACTAGGCATGAATCGAAGGTTAACCTCTCGCAGTTACTGTTCATCTTCGACTTTGAAGGTTTGAATCAACCTCAATTCAAGCTCAATTAAAGTCTAATTTGTGGGGGATTATGACTGACTTGCGCTACTCTTTCAAGGACTGAGGATGGAAGTCATTTTCGTTTGAATAATCCTTTGAATTGAGATAGGTTTTAGTTTCCCTAACACTGTTTACAGCAAGGGGTTAGAATATTTCACAAGGTTTTTGCCTGTTTTACTCTAATTTTTTTTGAGGTTTTTGGTTGGTTTTCTGTGGACTTGCTGCTACCATTGCTGAATTTTTCATTCAACAAAGATTTTTCATTTCTTTAAATTCTTGAAATCGTGGTACTGTTCATGTTCTTCACTACTGCACTTTTAGCTTTTGCTGGGTCATTGTGCCTTGCTCTATGACTTCTTTGAATAAGTTGGAGGTGAATAGTAGACATTATCTAGTTTTCGTTGGCATCCCCCTGGGTTATCCGTGGCAGTCTTTCATGTTGATTCCCTGGGGTGCTGTTGTCCTTCTTGTTTGTGTTCCTTGTTTGGACTTGTCCTTCGCTATCAATGTAAAGGCTTATTCATAGTGATCAAGACATGATAACAAGGCCTTTGGATGCTGGATTAGGGACAGTTTGGGGTTGATGATAATCTCTCAAACCAGTGTCCATTGGAGGGTAGTTTGGATCTCGTTTGCTGCTAGCCTTTTCCAATAATTTAGTTGCCTTTTCTTGGGTTTGAATATGTGGTTCCAGATCATGTTGATTCCCCAGGAAGTTGTTGTTTCTATTTGGAGGAGCTGGTTGAGTACTCTAATTCTTGGAGTTGGAACATTTGGATCTGAAGTTGATGGACATTCCTGCTTGTCTCTGGTGTGCGTTGGCTTCTGTTTGTCTTCCTCTCCTCGCGAGTTCAGTCTTGCTTCTACTACACTATGTTGGTTATTTGGAGGAAACTTCATGGGATGAAGACTCATGAATAGCTTTAAGGCTTGTTCTAGGTTTGTTGAGGTTGTTCTTGTTACTGCTAGTTGTCCTGGCAGGTTGACTTGCCACTGCTCTTGGCTCATGGGGTGGCTCGTGTGCAGCTGTTATTGACAGTGGTGTGTAGTGCTTGGAGGAAAAACCCTCTAGTTTTTGGAGCTTTGCAACTGGTTTTCGTGGTCATGCAGTACCCTACACTGGTTTGCTATTATTGGGACTACTTTAATTTGTGCGTTGGAAGTTTGAAGGAGCAAAACCAACTAGTCTCTTAATATGAGTATGGCGTTTATTTGTAGGCTTAATGCCCCTAAGCATGGGATTCTTGAAAAGTTTGGGGGTGTATTTTTTCCCAGGAGATGTCATTTTTATTGTCATGTAATGCACTTTGGGTTATTGTTACCACATTATACTACCAACTCTGTATTCACTTTATTTATGGGTTTATTCTCTTCTTAAGCATGAATGCATATATAATATGCTTGAGTGCATATTAATATAATCTTATAACATTGAATTTCTTGTTGTTAAAGTTTTTAATGAACAAAGTATGTTTGAGTTTTTGTTATTATGCATTATCAATATCCAGGTAATGCAATTATATGAGAAGACAATGCATTCTCATAATTGTAGTGAAATCCATCTATCTGATGAAATTATCATGGCATAAATATGATGAATCTATATATTCTAAAAATGTATTTTCCTTACATCTCGAAACAATAGTGATTCATTCATACATACATGCCCATATAAAAAATGTTTACCACTTTCATGCCATGATGGCTAATGTTTTTACTGGACATTGAGCATTGCCAAACGTTTTTTTGCACCAACATTATGCTAGGTACCTCAGCATCTTGGTAAGATTAATAACTACTCTGTATCAACATGAAGCTACTTTATGAAACCGTGACATGGATTAAAATGACCTGCTACATATCACAAAACCATAGTGTTTGTTCCAGATTACAACTACCATCTCCCACTACACCGCAAGTGTGTTCTAATTGAAATAGTAGCGCTCAAAAGAAACCAATTTATTTCTAATAGTGTTCACTTGAAAGAAATGAATAGGAAGGATAAACTTTGAGCAGAAGTGCATCCTCAGACATAAGGTGATGCATTTAATCTCCCAATGTCATGCATTTAGTTTGAACACGGCAAAACTATAAAAAATGGTTATGACATCCAATTATAGCCATAATCCACTCCACTACTACTACATATCTAAGATTAGATATAATATAAAAAACAACCAACTAAAGACTACCAATATTAGTCATTTTTGTCATAATTCCATCATCTTGACCATACTCTTTTGCATTTTTATGTTCAAATCCTTAATTTTGTCTACTTTCTCCTCAACAACCGTAGAGATATACTTGTTTCACAGAGCAATCATCACCTTGTCTTCCTTCATCATCACACAATTCTAGATTTTCAAACCTTGTCTCATGTATGTCTCATGGTAGCGAGTACATAATTGTGTATTCTCATTGCAACTATCCAGGATAATGCTAGACGTCTAGTGCTTTGCAATATCACCTTTCCACCTTTGTTGTGCATCCCTCGCCTCCTCAAATGTGTAACGAGCATGTCACGCTGCACATTATTATAAAACCATTAACACATTTTCATGGAATGCATATTTACACAAAACTAAAACAATCCAACACAAATTCATTTTCAAGTCATCACACATTCACCTTCAAACCATAAAGCATTACATTCTTAGTAAACTACATTGCATCACATCATTTAACTACTATAGTGCACCCCATGTTCGGCACTTTGCATTACTAACAATTATATACTCCCTCCGTCCCATGAAACATGGGAGTTTTGCTTTTTAGGAGGGATTTAAGGGGAGTGTATTTTGGTATTGAATTTTCAAAAATGTCCTTTGATGTGATGGGTAAAAGTATGATTTGATGGATAGATTATTAGTAAAAAGGTATGATGTGATAGTTAGGATATGAAAAAGTAAGGGGTAAAAGTGACTTTTTAATAGAAATGAGAAGTGTTTTGTGGGACGGATAAAAAAAGAAAGGAGAAAGGTTTTATGGGACGGAGGGAGTATATCTCCCATGAATTTTTTATCCCAACAATGATGCATTTTTACTTTTAATAAATAATCAAGCCACATCATAAATGACATTTGCAACAACAGTGCATTCAAAAATACCCTGCATTGCATTTTTGCCTAATGCGGCTACACACCATGAAACCCTAAAATCTGAGCTCAAAAAAACCCTGTAATCGCATACTCCTTAAATCCCCAAATTCAAATTTCATCCAAAACAAAATTGTTTGTAATGAAATCTGAAAAACAAAAGGAAATAAATTATGTATGGACCATCCGTTCAAAAAATAATCAAATTAATGAAACAAAAAAATTCAACATCGATGATTATCTTCTTCTACAAAAAGATTTCCTGCCCAATTGAAGAAAATCAAAGCAATCGCCGGTGTACTCAGATATAGATAAATTTCGAACTCTCCAAGCGTCTTCTATGAGATTAGCACTGTGAAATCTCCCTATTTACAACAGCAGCAGCAGGAAAATTATCCCGCTCAAAATTTTTACCTGTGAACCGCAGTAATAAAGTGCAAGACAACCGCTACCCGGAGAGCATTGCACAAAAACTGCAAGGCAAATGTCAACCGCTCATCACTTTACCCCATCTTCGTCACCTCTTTCGAAGCCTCTTGCTTCTATGTCTCTAGCTTTTATGCTCAGAATTACATAGCTATATTGAAGGCGAGAAGGTTGTTGGTTCGTTGGTGGAAGCCCGTGGATCTATCCGCCTTCATTTTACAGAGAAATAGGAAGGGACGGGATTCACTGCTTCAAGAAGAGGTTAACACCATTTTCTAATTTCTATTTCAGTTTCTTTATATTTATTGTACTCCGTAATATTTTAAGTTTTTTTTGTATTTATGGACGCAAGCTTCCATGGCGACGAGAGTGATAGATCGGATGGGCATGGTTTCAGGTGATGAGAATGCAAGGTCGATTTCTGCTTTTGACCATCTCCCAGGTATCCTCTACAATTTCATAACTTCATTTGTAGGATTGGGAGAGATATTTTCACCCCAACATCCCAGAAGCTCTTTGTACATAGGTCCAGGCAGTTTGCAATGTGTTTTCTACATTTCCTGCTTCGTTTTAGTTGTATTGTATTGGTGTATGCACCTTCTGCAAGTGTCTTCAAGGTCTCAGGCAGGTATGTCCCTTTTCAGTGTGCAAATTTGCACAAGCAAACATGAGTCACCACCTATTTGATGAAATGTCCCAGTGAGTCCTGTGAACAAAACTTTAATTTATAAAGCTCATATGGCACTCCGGATGGTTTCTAATACACCCCAAGTGACCCTGCCACCCTTATGGTTCTAATCAAGCTAATTCAGTCCCCTAATATAGTAAGACCAGGCTTTAGTGAGAATTTTATCAGTCTTTGAATAATTTTAATTTTTTGCTAGATTTTATCTTCACTCAATTGATCAAGTCAATTATTACTAAGAGTCTTTTGTTTTTCCCCAAGAATCTTATAATTCTTTTTTTTTGTACATTTATTAACTTATGATTTCAGACCAATAGTTTTTAAAGATTCATTTCTTTTGTTACCAGTCTCTCATTCTTTGTTTGTTACATGTTTCATATAGGTTTGAAAAAACAATTTGAGTTTGTTTGGATTTACAATTTAAAGATTGCAAGATATTTTTATAATCCTTTATTTATAGTTGTTTATTGTGTTTACTTTAAATTTTATTTGGAAATCTAAATGAGTTATCTATTGATCTTATGCGCACTGTTTTGGCTGCTGTAGAACAAAAAGAGAAACTCATAAAGGTGGAACCACATCTAAAGAAGCTGCTCCTAGACGTAGAATGTCAAATTGGAAGGCAACTCTAGAATTTGAGGTTGCCCCTTTGTCTGTTTGTTTAACCATTTGTCTCTCATGTCTTGAGAAATTTGACTAAGTGACCCATTTCTATCGTCATGATGAATTAGGTTGAGTCAATTGGGATAATACTTTGGGATTGATTTTGAAATAGAACTGGTAGAAATGCAGACATGCAGTGGAGATGGGAGAACCATTCACTCCGTACGTGAGGGAATTTAGTTATAGAATGAAATCTTGCTCCATAGTTTAGAACTAGAGTGTTGTTCATCTTAATATCTCATCCAACGAATCTTAGATATTTTCCATCCACTTATTAATAGTTTTGGTAGAGCCAAATTAAAGACTTGCTAAGTATCATGCTTAGTTCAAAACATAACACCAATGACATTATTGCAGGTAAACATTGAGTATGTTGGATGGATTATCTTCAACATTGATGGAACACTTTATCTAGATAGTGTGGTGGGAAAAGATTCTCACACAACCATGATTGATGGCCTACAAGTTACGGGTTGTGGCGTAGGAGGCATTGAATCAGAAGTAAAAATGATTGGTGATGTAAATTTACTATTGAAGTTGATGCTTTCAATTTTATGGAATAATCTATAAGTTGCATAACCTATTATAAACAAAATTTAATGCTGAAAAATTTTAATAATGCACAAAACTTAATATCTTAAATGATTCTAAATGAGTTTTAAGATTGAAATATTGCTTATATCTTACCAATTAAAAGAAGGTCTAAAGAAGCTAAATTTTTTACCATGAGGATGCAAAAATAAAAATCTTGATTTGTTGCAGCCAGAAACTTGAACCACATTTGTCTGCACCAATTCATGGGAGGCTTTGAGTGGAGTATACAGGTAGAAGATCATATATTGTGGTGCTTTACAACTTTGCTCCCTCTTTCCTTACATAATAACTTTTGTTCTATATTAACACACATATCCCTATTTAATTTTTAGGTGTTAAAATATTTCTATTAAATATTTAGGGGTGACAAACATACCCCTATTGAATTGACAAAATACCCATTGACAAAAGTTCATAACAAACTCTATTGCATGATATTTTACTAAATAAAAATTCAGTGTTTCGCCATGGTAAATCTTAAGTCACTACCTCATGTGACAAATTGACAAAGATTAAAGATTTTTAACTTAAGATGAAGAAAATATTTTTGGGGCACATTTGAAATGTTGTGTATAAAAAAATTATTTAAGTTTTTTTAATGATTTTTTCCTGTTTTATTTTTATTAGACGCTGTTATTTGATAGAAAATATTGCAAGCATTAACATTGTCTTAATCGGTAGTAATTGGAGGTGAGGGATCAAAGAGAAATATTTTGGGCACCAGATTTAGTTTTTTTTGGAATTGATGGATACTTTGTACAGTAGGAGGGTCATTTTGGCATTTTGCTCTCACACCTTTATATATTGAAGCTCTGATCTCATCTTTTTGAACCCATGTTCATGGATTAGATTTCCTTCTTAGAATATAGAAATTGAAGGAGTTGTGTGGACATGCATGTTATTTTAGTATTTAATATGTACCAATGAAGTAGAGACATTATCTTACTTCGGGTCCTATAAAAGTCTCCATGTAGAGAACTTATAAATGTTTGTGCTGATTTCAGCTGCTACTTAATGAGGAATAATTAGCGAGTCCTGGCAACTTGAGTAGCAATCACTGGAGAATGATTGTTTTGGGAATTTGCATTCGGGCAATAATACTACCAAGTTGGGCATTACTTCTCTCTTCCTCCGTAATTAGTTTTATAGAACTCATACCTATGGGCATGTGTGTTATATTTTTATTTGGATGTACTCACAAGTAATCGGAGCTTTAGTCTCTTGCAGTTTGTGATTGGACTCTTTTGGAGTCACATAAGTTGTGATTCCCTTATCTTTTTTTATTAGTAAAATTTCTTATTTGAAAAGAAAATCATTTCATTTTGGTATCATGCCATAGTTTTATAGTCTCCACTTCATTTTTTACATTTAATTTTTCCAGAGTTTGATGAGTGTCAATTGCTAAGATGTGTATAGTCTTGAATTGTTCACTACAAGTGGAAACTGGGGAGTTGAGTGTGGTGACTTGTGTGAGAATCATTAAGTGGTAGTTTCCAGTTTGGATTCATCAGTGATTAGAATGTACACAATATGTTATTCTCCGTAAATCATACCATTGGTGCAATTGATATGTAGTTATGGATTAGTTATGGATGGCTCTGATATGCAATTGATTTGTAGTTTATAATTGTGAAATATATGCCTTATTGAATTTAACCAGAATATTAGACCAATATATATTGCACCTATCTATAATGGTGCATGTTTGATTTTTGTGAATTGTTTGCACAGAATTATCAAATTTGTACATTTATGAAGGCAAGAGTTTATAGAAAATCTTAGCTCCCTGGCCTTTCTGCATGGAAAACATTGCTTTCTTACTTCCCTCCTCACTCCTCACTCACTGGGTATTTATTGTAGCATTTACCGGTATTTATTGTAGCATTTACCCATTCATACCTTCACTCACTATGTAAATCAAAATGCTAGAACCAAAAATAAAATATGAAATTGATCCAAAATAGAAGGCTGGAAGAGTGGAAGTAGATTATACCAAATAAATCTTTGGGACATTTAATCAAACATGTTGCATGCAAACATAAACTCTAATGATTCAACACTAATTTACACAAAAAAAAATTGATTTAAATTATTTAAAAGAAAGAGAAAAAAGAAAATAAAACCCAATTGTATAGGATGGAAGCAAAATCCAGCCACTACCATACCTTTCAATGATTTGTTTTAGCATTAAGCATCACTTGGATGCCAAGCTCTACTTCCTCCGTTGTCCTTGCAACTGCATCTCGCAACACCAATTCACGCCATGTTGAAAGAAAGAATTCAAATCAGAGAATCCATGAAATTGAGCCACCAAATTATTAAAATTCTACGAGGGAAGAAATTAGTTGTTAATTATGGCAAAGATTGAAGAAAATCAAAGAGAGAAAAAGAGTTAATGGTGATAGAGGAAGAAGGTACTTGATTGTGAGAGGATTTTACGGAAAGAGATAGGAGAGAGAATACGATGAGATGCGATTGAGTTGTGTAAAACCGAAAAAGCCCATGAGGACTTGACGCAGTAGGATCAGATCTAACGGTGGTAACTCATATAGTCAGGTTAAATCTGTGTGTGTGTGTGCGCGCATTTGTGTGTGTGTGTGTTGCATTGAAATTAAAAAAAATTTAAAATTGTCAAAAAATTCATTATATTCGACCCCATGCATCGCACGGGTCAAAATACTAGTATAATACAAAAAGGTAAGTTTGTGATATTTGTGACAATTTTGTTTATGAGACTAGCATTCCTCATGTATAATAATATTCTAAATATATATGTAAAGCTAGGAATACTAAATAAGATTTAATATGCATCAAATGTGTAGAAAAATTAGCGAAGGGGTAGCCTTTATTAAAATTACTCCTATATGAAGAAAAAATAGTAACTCCTATATAGGGAGAAGTGAGATGTTTTAATCTTATATTGAAAAATTTTTACTTTTATAAAAGAGAAATGTAAGAAAAATGCATGTATGCGATATTTAATCCGAGTGTTATTCAAGCTTATTAAATTCTAGTTATTGAACATTGATCATGCGTTACGCATTCTATACCTATAAAAGTTCTTTTATACATAATAAAAAACACTATATACTGAAAATAAGAAAACATTTCTGTGCAATTTATAACCTATCTTCTACCATGTCATCAAGCTCCAAGTTCAGGTTGTATATACGTAGCAACTATTTATGAAGCAATTAATTTATCTTTAATGTTGTGAAAGGCACAATACAATTAGTTTATGAAATAAATTACTCCCTCCGTTTCTTAAAACCCTTCTTCTTTCATTTTTTTTTTGTTTTTCTTAAAACACTTCCCCTTTCTATTAAAAAACCACTTTTACCCCTACTTTTTCATACCCTACCTATCACATCATACTTTTTCACTAACAACTAAACTATTACATCTTACTTTTACCCATCACATCAAGGGAAAAAAATTGGAAAGTCAACTACAATTTAACACTTTCTTATTTTCCCCTAAAGTCAAAAGAGGAACTCTTTTGAGAAACGGAGGTAGTATAATTTAAGTTAAAATTCTACTCCATCCGTCCCATAAAACCTTTCCTGTTTCAAAAATGACACGCCTTTAAAATGAGTAATTTTGTTGTTATTTTCTAATTTTGCTCTTATTTATAAAAGAGTAGGATGAGATGTGTAGAATAGATTAGTCATAATTAAAAAAATACTACTAAAATTACTCATTTTAAAGGCGCGCTATTTTTGAAACAGGAAATGTTTTATGGGACGGAGGGAGTATAAGTTATAGAGCTGCAACATTTTATATATGTCAAATGATGTTTCTAATGCAAATATTAAAAGGAATAATTTGATGAGGATTCTTTAACAGCATTAGCATAGTGTACGTATAAGTTTAACGTCGGGAATGGTAATATTATACTCCCTCCGTCCCATAAAACCTTTCTCCTTTCTTTTTTCATCCGTCCCACAAAACACTTCTCATTTCTATTAAAAAGTCACTTTTGCCCTTTACTTTTTCATACCCTACCTATCACATCATACTTTTTTACTAATAATATATCCATCAAATCATACTTTTACCCATCACATCAAAGGACATTTTTTGGAAATTCAATACCAAAATACACTAGCCTTAAATCACTCCTAAAAAGCAAAACTCTCATGTTTCACGGGACGGAGGGAGTACTAATTTATTGGTGTAAGATTGTTACATCTCAATTGAATTGGAGTACCAATATATTGAGAAAGTACAAATAATACTACAAAAATCTTATAGCATTTTTTTCCATTGTGAACACAGGCCAGGATGCAAGTTTACTCATTTACAAAGTATTGTGGTTGTAATAATGCTGATTTTTCTCACAATGCAATTTGAGTTGTTGCGTGGATCATCACCTCCCAATCAATGCACTGCATCATTCTGCCAGTGTTATCCAGAGTGCTATGCAAAGAACATCGGGAGATTCGATAATTTTACACAAGATATCGAAGGATATTGTATATTGTATTGTGATTATATGTTTAAGACTAAATGTTACAGTTTTTCTGATTGCCCGAAACGTAATATAGTGTAATGTATATCTAATTGAGAATACAACATTATGAATAAACGTGTACCATTTTAAGTGTTTGGGACTATTTTAAAATTGATACTTGATGTTCTTATATAAGTCAATTAATTAATTTATGATTCAAAAATACATAAAGACTAGTGTTAATCCCGTGCTCGTATATAGTCTAAATTTTTGAGATTGTATATATATATATATATATATATATGATATTAGTTATTTTATTTTTCTAATAGTGACAAAATATTTTTTAAACTTGTGAAATATATATAATGGCCATTGAATTGAGTACTAATAAAAATAATTTTAAATAATAAAGTATTATAATAAAAAAGGATTAATTACATAATGGCACATCATTAGAGAGTGTATATGTGTTATAATGTCACTTGTCACCCTTCAATTTTATTCTATTTACTTTGTTGAAAAATATATGTAGCAATAAAATAAATATGCTGATAAGAAAAGTTTTTGAAACAAAGTATTTAATTAATAAATATTCATGTGACTAAAACTATATAATCATTTTTTGAGAAGTAATATAATAAGTTAAAATAAGTTGTGGATAGTATAAAAATAATCCTATATTTATGTATGTGTGTGTGTGTATAAATTTCTTTTCATTAATATATATATATATATATATATATACATATATATATATATATATATATATATATATATATCTGTGTGTGTGTATGTATGTATGTGTGTGTGTGTCTATTTTTTTTTATTTAAGGAGGATTTTTTATTAGATGGAAGCCAATGAAAAATGAAAGTACAAGTACAAAAGCTACCCGAAAGTGGTAACAAAGAGAGAAACAAAATAAAATAAAGTAAAGATCAAACTTAAATCCAGACTACAATTCCATTGTGCGCAGTTTCAGTTGCCCATTTATAGTCTGGAGGATACTTTGTGGGCAGTGCAATTCTTGATATCATTCCATCTTCTCGGGGTTCGCTTGGACGACCCAGTATCATGCACGGCCCGTGGAAACCCTTGGTGGTGACCATGGCTTGAAGTTGTCCGGTGGAGGGATCCTTAACGTAAGAAAGAACTCCCTCATATATATATATATATATATATATATATATATATATATATATATATATATATATATGTTAAATATATATATATATAATATATTTAATATTATTGTTACCATACTTGTATAGGTTTCCTATATTGTCTCTCCTACCTTAATTAGGATTGAGACTTTTGTATATATACATGTACTCTCCTCACAATTTATTCAATGAAAATAATCTTTCTTCATGGTATCAGAGCCTAACCAAAAACCCTAATCTCTCCTCTCACCCTTTCGGCCTCCCTCCTCCTTCGCCGAATCACCGGCGCCGCCGCCTTCCTCCTCCTTGGCCGGCCTTCTCCTCCTTCCTACCATGGCTGAAAGTGAGATCACCTCTCAGTCTACCACTCAAAAATCTCCCCATCTGGCTTTCTCTGTCTCCAACGTCAAATTACATGTCCCTATTAAACGAAGCTTTTCTCAACCAAACTACAAAAAGTGGAGCCGCCTGTTTCTCCTCCTTGCACGACGGTTCAACCTCCACGGTTATCTTGATAGCTCTATCGTTCCCATCTCCGACGATGATGATGAATGGTTTCAACTTGACGCCATTCTCCAGGGTTGGATTCTCTCCACCATCACGGATGAAGTCTCTGATCTGGTTATTTCCTCCGTCTCTACTGCCTCTGCTCTCTGGAAAATCATTCATGATCTGTTTCATGACAACAAACATGCTCGCACCATGCAACTCGAGCACCAATTTCGCACCACTGTCAAGGGATCTACCCCCATGGCTACTTATTGTCAAGAACTACGAAATATTGCGGATTGGCTGGACGACGTCGACGCTCCCGTCTCGGAGCACCAATTGATTCTTCAGATGCTACACGGCCTCCCCGATGATCTCCAGGCTCAGACCTCGTTCCTCCAATTTCAGGATCCCATGCCGAGCTTTCTTCAGGTCCGGTCGGCCCTCCTCCTTCTTGATCGGCAACGGACTCCACTGGGCAGCACCAGCAGCACGGTGGTGCTGGCAGGGCACGGCGGCAGCAACTACACCGGCGGACAGCACAGCGGCAATGGCGGGCGTGGCTCCGGCAGTAACTCCGGCAGTGGGGGACACTTTTTCGGCAGCAACTATGGTGATGGATCATCCTCCGGGCAGCGTGGTGGCTTTGGACGCAGACAAGGGCGCGGCAACGGCAACTGGGGTCGTGGTCGAGGGCACCAAAACTGCGGATCGAGGCAGCGACCACCCACGAACGGGCACAATTTCTGGAACTCACCGTATCCAAACCCTAACCCCGGGGTGTTGGGCCCCCC